GTTATGTTCCCCCCAAACTCCTGCCCCTTCATCCCGCTGAGGGAGGGAAACGTTAGAAAGAGCCTTGGTGCTGTGCCAGCACTGCTCAGGGGTAGTCACAACATGGGTGTTATCAGCACTTTTCAAACTCCTGACACAAAAGCTCTGCACCAGGAGGGCTGCTATGCTCAGCCAGATCAGATACAATTTCATATACTAGGGGGAGGAGGGTTGCCCTTTCCATTGAGGCAAGACACAGATGGGGTAAACCCCAGCAGTCACGTACAACTTCACCTTCAGAGCAGTTTCACAGTCTGGAAGGACTGTCCTACCTTCCAGCCAGCTGCCAGCCCTATGTTCCATCTCTCTCTCTCTTTCAGCTCTAGCAATTTTGAGGCCACAGTGCTAATTGGATTAGTCCACTAATTTGGCTTAAAAACTCTGTAATTGGATAGTTTAGGGCCACAGAGATGGTCAAAGGACTGGGAAGCTGCCGTATGAGGAAGGCTGAGAGAATTTGGTTTGTTCAGCCTAGAGAAAAGAAGGCTTAGGGGAGACCTTATCACCATGTTCCACTATTTAAAGGGTGACTACAAAGAAGATGGAGACTCACTTTTTACAGGGACTCATGTGGAAAAGATAAGCAGTAATGGGGACAAGTTACTTGTGGGGCGATTCCAGCTGGAGACAAGCAAATTTTTCACAATGAAAATAGCCATTGGAATAAGCTCCCTGGGCAAGTCGTGGATTCCCCGACTTTGGACACTCTTAAGATTCAGCTGGACAGGGCACTGGGCCATTCTATCTAGACGGTGCTTTTTCCAAGAAAGGTTGGGCTAGGTGATTGTTGAGCTCCCTTCCGACCTGGTATTGGTGTTCTAATTTTAAGTCAAGTCTGACTCAATTTGTAGTCCTGGGAAGGAAAGGGAGTTGTGCTTGACTGCCCTTTTGGTGAAAGCTCAGTTTTTGGACAAGGAGCTCACACCCTCAGAGGCATTCTCTTTAATGCCATAAATGCAAAATTGAAGTAATACATTAACCTAATATATATATCTCACTGTATTTTCTCTTTGAAACTGTGAGCTTTTTAATGGATATGTATATATTTAAAACTCTTTTGTGCTGCTGAGGACTTACCTGTGCACTGAAATGAATGTTCAGGGAGGCAGGATGTAAAATTAGAGAAAAATAAAGGCAGCCCTAACCTTTGTCAGCCTTTTGCAGTGTATATTCTGATCTTACTTGCATGACCACATATTATCAAAACTGAGGAGCTGGAAATAAATTGGGAGGTAGGCACAGTATAGATGGCACTGCCCCTGAAAGGCATGTTTGAACCCTCAGGTTCAAAGTGTCTGTGCTGTGCTGAGTAAGAATGGAGCTAAGGGTGCTTGCTGCTGACGCTAGGCTAGATGGGTTGCATCCCATCTGTGCTCCATTTTTATGGACTGCATGAGCAAAAGCAAGGTCCTGCATTAAAACATCAAACTCCCTCATTTCAGAGAACTCCAGAATTTGGCTGAAATCTGAATATGAGCATGTGAACAAGGTGAGTGTTAAACAAAAAGCAATTAATAATTGGTTTCAGTCTTAAGTGACTCTCTTAAGTCACTCTTAAGTGATTTTATTGACCGAGGGATGCCACTGTGCAAAAATGTTCAAGATTCGCCACTTATATTAAAGCCCAAACCCATGCGCCATTAGTTATCCACTGCCTCTCACCCTGTAGTGGAAGGCAGAGACACAGATATTGGACTTTGTCTCAAACTGGGTATAAGACGTCACATAAAAAATGAGTGCAGACTCACACCCTTGTTCTGTGCACATCATCTTTCAGGATAGAGGGACATTTTAGTTGAAAGGGGCAAGCATATATAGTAAGAGCTAACTATATTTGACAGGTCCATGACATGTCTGCCAGGGTAAAGGATTTGTTGGCATTTCATATTAAACCTGTGTTGGTAATAGTTGATATGAAGCAGTATGACCTAAATACCTGTCTTTTGAAGCAGTTTCTTGATCATCTTGTGCTAACCACTGTGGTGCCACTACAAACTCAAGATCTCCTGAATGTGTCACAGGTGTGGCTGCAGCTCAGACAGACAGACTGTACCCATGGTATATATATTGATGCCAGGAGAGGAGAAACAAGGGAGAAAACACAGAATGTGAGCTTTTGCAATTAACTGGTTATCATGTAATTGATACTTGTCAGTAGTACAGTAGCCTTGTGGACATTCACATTATTTTTACTCCTGACATAGCCTGGCTTCTTCCTTATGTGTAGTGGTTGCTTATGATTTTTTCTTTAGTACTTGCTTTTAGATGTGAAAGAATAAGTTTTATTACTCTACCACATTAATTATTTTAGGCTTTGTTGCTTCTTTACTCTAAAAGAATCTTTATCTTTTGCTCATTTGAATAGTGTTTGCATAGCAGTAGAAAGACTTCATACTCCCTGTTAGAATGAAATTTACTTATCTAAACTGAAGATTTTGACAGATATTCTTATTTGTTAAACTACGTACTTTATGGTCAGATATATTCTAAACATGATGGATTTATCTTACAGAATTGATAGTAGATAATGCCTATAAAATCAATGAAGCATTATTAGGTACATTGCATGGTATATTACAAAGTGGTACAGATTTGTACAAGTAGGAGGAAAAGGAGGATAAAAATGAGATAAAAAATGAAGGGAAAGTTCAGGCTATTTTCCACATGTGTGGCTGTAAAAAGAAATATGTTTTTGTGAAGTTATGAGGAAATGTTAAACTTACGTAAAATAAAAATGTTTGCAAACCTTTGTGGCTTTGTGGAGGTAAAAAACCTGGCCTATGTTGTGGCTGATTATTTATTTCCTGCTCTGCAGGGCATTTTCAGATTCTGCTTTGTCTTTATTTTCTGGTTTGTTTTTTGGTGTGTTTTTGGGTTTTTTTAATAGCTGACACCTTGTCCCCATAGTTGTTTTCCTTAGTCTAGCAATAGCCTAAAACAATATTTCTGAGAAATATGTGTATCTCCTTCTCCTTGGCTGTGGTTTCATCTTGCAAGACTTCAACAGTAATACGCTTTCAAGGCCACCTCTCTCCTTTTTAATTATTCCCTTGGCACACCATCCGCTGTGCTGAGGATATGCTCTTGAAACTGAGCTGGATTAAAAACTAAAATGTGAAAAATTATTCATTTATAGTGCCATTGCTTCTCTGATCCTTCAGACAGTTATACTGGCATGACTGAAGGGCTTGCACACTTGCAAACAAGGAAGAGTAAGAACACCATAAACTAGTACCGCAACAAACTCTTTCTGTCACAAAACTATGATTGTATTGGGCTTTACTTCCAAGTGTTTAGTGCTAGTTTTTAGTACATTGCTGCCAAGTGTTTTGCTGGATGTATTGGTAAGAGGTGCAGGAGTTGGAGTTGTGCTCACTCCAAGGGAGCAAAAGTTTATAATGAAATGAAAGAGCAAAGATGAGACACAAGTAGGATGCATAGAGGAGAAAGAAGAGTACGAATAATACTCACCCTTTAGTTGAAGAGTTGGAATTTTTTTCCTAGTGAATGATAAGGTTCTGAACTAAAATTAAAAAAGCTGACATAGTTTCTGAAGGTGGCTTTCAAAATTTTGTCTTTATGTAAACTTACTAGTGCAGTTCTACTGTGGTTTATGATTGTATGTGTACATGTATATACATAGTTTGTAGTCGTTTTGTGTATGTATGAAAAAAAAAAGTGATGGTCCTTTACTTGACTATAGAGTGTGAATATATATGTCTGGCTTTGGTTTAAAGAGTTTTCTTGCATTTCCAGTGAAATTCTGCCTAAGTATTTAAATGGCAAATTCATAATTTTAAGAAACAAATTACAATGATGTCTAAATACTTTACTTGAAATATAACAGCTTAGTGCCAACAGTTTTGCATACAGCTTTACAACTGGTTTTCTTCTGTATTTAAGGTGGCCTAAGGCGTGCAGTTGCCAGTATAGCAGGTCTTGAGGCATACAAGTACATGAAATATGAAGGAGGAGTGCATCGTGTTCAGCGGGTACCCAAGACAGAAAAACAAGGACGCATCCACACCAGCACAATGACTGTTGCAATATTACCCCAACCCACTGAGGTAAGTTTTATCTTTTAGTATAACAGACTTTACCATGAATAGTGTTTTTACATGCCCTGTTGCTGATTGATACCCAAGTGTTTTCTGTCTCTTGTTATTCTCTCTTAATGATGTTGGTTTTTTAATCTTAAGCTAAATTCATCTTTGGCTATTTGTATTTTTGTCTAGGGGAATAAAATAAAGAATTTCTGGATTTCCTCATAGTCATAATCTCAAGAAAGTCAATGGCAGTTTACTGTAACTTGGAAATATACTGTGACTGTCTTGCATCTTTTGTGGAAAAAAATATATTTTTTGCAAAGTAACAAAGACTGAATTAGTTTAAGGAGCACACAGAGACTTATTTTAGCACTTGCTCTTCCCGTTTTTTGTAGTGTCCACACTTTCCCCCATCCAAAGTCTACAGGAAATAATTCATTCTCACCGTTTTTGCATGGTTAAAAAGAACTGGCTAAGAATTAAGCCTTTGCTTTGATCTATTTTTCATGTTGACCTAGTAAGTTGTCAGAGCTATTACTCCTTTCTATTCTCTCCCAAAATTCTTGCTTCTTCCTGACAGAGAACATCGTCCCATTCCAAAGCCAGCAAAAAGAACGTGTTCCATTCTATCTAGAAACCATCTGGTCAAATATCAGTTAACTCTGCTGAAAGAGGGTGCAGAGCTTACAAAGAGGGAGTAGATTAGTGCTAAGGGGTGGCTGTTCCTTAAGCCTACTCTTTGTCTAATTTTCTAGCTTTCACCATGTCACATCCCAATCTGGCCACAAGGATTTGTTAGTATGTTCATAAGTGGATGTGAGCTACCACTCATAAACCTGAAAGAGTTTGAGCTGTGCCTTTATAAAATAAACCAGCTATGCATATTTGACAGCTGTCTAGAAAGAAACAACATGAACGTGGGTTTGTTTTCTTTTGTTTTCCTTCCATGACAGATGAGGCTGCAAATTAATCCAAAAGACCTGCGGATAGAGACAAAGCGAGCCAGTGGAGCTGGAGGCCAGCACGTCAATACTACCGACAGTGCCGTACGGATAGTTCATATTCCAACAGGTGCTTCATTTTTACCCTAGTAAAAGATCTACATTGCAAAACTGCTGTCAGAATTTCTTTTGATGCAATAGTTTTCTTTTCAAACCTGGACTACAGCAGAGCAGACTTTCCATACAGTTTTAGGGTGCGTTTATAGTACTCTAAGTGCACCATCTTGCACCCACTCCATTTTTTAATAGCGAAGACTATTGGCTTCAGTAGGTAATCTAATCATTTTGCCATTCAGCATGACACTCTAAAAGCATCCAGATCAGTTTCTATGAAAAAGTTCTATTAAAGCTTTCAAATAATAGAAAAAAAACTGAAAACCAGAGTAGGTTAAAATCTGATGATTTGCCTTTCCTTGAGTAGTCTCTGAAAGAGAGATTGTTCTATTTTCATATTAAAATGTTACTTTTAATTGCAGAGTCTACTCGGGCCTACTCAGGGTGCCAGCTTCCATTTGTCTGCTGGCTCCTTTCCCATAGATTACACACATAATTAGGAGGCCCATCCCCAGGGCTTGAGTTAGGAAATGTAGGAGGGGTAAGATACACCCTCAGATGCTACCTGATTTTAACTATCATATCTTTTTTTTTTTTTTACTGCTGTTCCTAAGCTCTTTATTTCCCTTTGAACAATACACAACAGCTGCCTTGACTTTCATTGCTTTTTTACTTTTCCTCTTCTTTACTACAAACATTATTCAGGCTTTACAGCTTCAGGGTAATCCCAAGTGCTCTTTATCTTCACATATCCAGATTTTTGCCACCCATTTCTTCATATTTATTGAAGGCATTAATCCATTCTGCATTTGTTGCATCACCTCAGTAAAGCAAAAGGTAAACAATGGAGAGAGAGGATAGAATTGCGTTCAAGGTATGGTGACAAAAACATACTCCAGATTGAAAAAGTGCGTGTTTGGAAGAAAAAAACCCACAAACTAAAACTGGCAAATTATCGTAGTTTTTGCTGAAGGCAATTATTAGTGGTTTTCATAGAAAATGTAAAATGTATTGCAAATTTTTTGTGGTTATGCACTGGAGGTGATTCATAGAGGGTTTTATATTTCACCTTACCTCCTGACTTTTTCCTGTTCCACCTTTCCCTTCTACATTCCTCTTGATCTCTCTTCCTTTACAATTGTCCTGTAACTTCTGTTTCTCTCATCCTAACATTTTTTACAAACCTTTGTTGCGATTCCAAAAGTTGTTTGTAAACAAGTCTTTCATAAAGTAATACTATGTAATCTTATAAAAGCATACTGTTATCTTATCAGAGTGACTTAAAATAAGTTCAAGTAACAACCTAGCTTATGCTATGTTCTTCATGAATTTCTTCTCCCTGCTCCTTTATAGGCAGTTCATTCACCTTAATTTGAATTATATGTTTTGAGGGGAGAAACCATACATTTATGTAAAGAAAATAAGTGCCCGTTTTAATATATTCTGATTATTTTCTGTGTACCAAATGTCTTGTGTATTTTACTTCTTAAATTCTAAATTTCCTGGAACTATGGCCAAATATTACAAGTATTAAAGTTGCCTTCCATAACTCAGATTACATCACCTATCTTTTCTTTCGCTATCTACCTGTCGTCCAACATATCAAATTGTATTTCTTGTCTTATGGCCTAAAGCACCTGCACAACTCAGCCTGCACCTCTCTCTCAAAATGTATCATTAGACATTAATAAGCTTGGGCTTTTACATTCCCAGTCCAAAATATGTATTGAAGAAAGAAGCAGCTTATTGTAACATAATAAAAATCTTCTAGAAATTGCAAAGCCCTTTTGGTACGTGTTACTGTCGGGTGTTACATGTCATGATATTTTTGGCAGGGATTGTGTCTGAATGTCAGCAAGAAAGATCTCAAATTAGAAACAAAGAGAAGGCCATGCAAATGCTGTGTGCTAAACTATACAGTGCCAAACTGGAAGAAGAAAACAAAAAGAGAAACAGTGTTCGAAAGATTCAAGTAAGTTTCACTTAGTATATAATTCTGTAGGAGCATGTGTTCTTGGGACTAATTCCTGTGCTGAATTGCAGATAGTAAGTGGAAATATAGATGAACAGGACTTACACTAATTAAAAAATTACATTCTACTTCGGCAATAAAGGTTGTATGTTAGCTAGAGATAACATTTCACTTGCATATAAATCTAGAGATCTAGTAAAACAAACTGGATTATAGCATGAAGAACTAGAATAGTATGAGAAAATTATATAGTACATTTGTTCTTTTTACATGTTTGAGAACAATTACTGCAGCTACAAAACTGGTCTGAGTACTATGTACCAAATTTTGGATAATCATGGGAGGGAAAGAAGGCTTTTGCTTTAGGTGCTTAGTATTTCATCCTTTTTATAAAAAGACTACAATGATAAATTGATTCTTCTTGTTTGATAGATTGGGACTAAAGGAAGATCAGAGAAGATCAGAACATACAACTTTCCGCAGGACCGGATTACTGACCACAGGATAAGCAGATCAGTGCACCATATTGAGTGTTTCATGCTAGGGGGAGAAATGCTAGATGAAATGATACAAACTCTGAGAGAATATGCTGATTATGAATCTTTAATGGAAATTATTTCAGAAAATGAAAAAAAGAATCCATCCTGAAGATTGCTCTTTGTCAGCCCATTACAACAGTTGGAAACATTTGTCTGCAAAGGAGCTTCTTGGAGCACCACATAGAGAATGCGACTGTTTTTTTTCAACTGTCATGAAAGACACCACAACTTCTTTCCTCATGACTGATAAACAGTTTTCTTACTTGCTGAATAAAAGACTTTATTCCCTCCATATGAGATGTTGCTGCAACAGTCCACTTAGAAAGTAAATTTGACTTGGCCAGAAGTTACTGCAGTTTTTTCTCCACTGAGAAGATACCGAATCCACCTCTCTTGAAAGGTATGCATTAAAAGTGAGCTATTTCTAGTTCCAGTTTTCATTGAAACAATAGTTTAAAGATCAGTATGATGTCAAATAGCCTGCTTGAGAGAACAAGAAAAAAAAGCCTATTCAGTTGGAAGAAAGTTATAAATAAATTACTCCTCTACTGATCTGCATGTTTGTTAATCACTTACATGTGGCATGGGAGAGGGAGTCAAAGTGCATCTCCTTCATATTTTCATGGCATTCTGGCCCTTATTAATAAACAACAACAAAAAAAAATAGTTTAGAAATGTCCTTTGTTCATTAAAAAAAAAAAAGCTATGGAAGGCAAGTGACAAGTTATGGGAGTTGTTCTTGAAAAAGACATTTCTGTTTGAGTCAAAAATAAAAAGAGTCATCACAATATTGCTTGGCTGATATTTCAGTCTCCAGTTGACTTTGGTTCAGTTCCTCCTTCATGTTTTTAATTGACCCTGCATTTTATTGATTTTTCTAAATGTTAACATGCTGTGCGTGTGTGGCGTGTTGCTAGTTTTGTCTATCAGGTTAATAGCATCTTAAAAAACTTGATCCATGGAAGCAAATTAAAACTTTTGACTTTCTAACCTACTGATACATGTGTACATGTTTATATCTGTAGGTAAAGACTTTTAACCTTGATTTTAAACTACATTTGGCAATCCAAAATACATATAGCAATACAAAACCTGCAGCTTCTATGCCACATTATCCATTCCTGCACTGAACCTATGCCTGTGTGTGTACACACACAGCATGTGGAATATAAATATAAAATTAGTGTAAGAAAATGAATTAGGAACAAAGTTTGCTACAAATAGCTTATAGAAATGCATTATTTAAACATCCTATATAAAAATCAACTAATTATTATCAGTTTATTATCTTCTTCTATTACATTTGAAATGGCAGTTTGAACTGATGCGTGTCAAAAAAGCACGTAGAATCATTTAATGCCTTTATCATCTTTGTTTTTTAGGAAATACTTCATGGTAACTATGATTGAAGTTCCAAATCTTTTAATTAAAGATTCATGCATTAACTTCAGACACAGGGGTGTCTGTATGTATAAGGTGAGGCACACATATTTCCAGTTGGTAAGTTTGAGACCTAGGTCTAGGTTTACTAGTGGATTTATAACTCCTAACTGGCACATAAGAAAATAAAAATATCTGATATGTTTTGTGTGTAAATTAATTAGATACTGATTGGAGCAGAAACTGGGACTGAAATCTTTTATTTCTAGTAGACCAGAACTATAAGTGGAAGACTACAGATCACTTGTGACAGTTTTGATGACTTCACTTAAAGCCAGGCTATCTTAGACAAAGTGATGGATAGAGTTTGCAGTTCCTTCTCTCTAACTTGAGATTCATATTCCTCCAAACAAATAGGGGTTATCAGCCATGTCTAAGCAGTGGACTACTGTATGAAACTGATTAAAAGTGTCCAGATCTTTGTCAGTTTAGACCTTCCCTGATGTTCCAGCTGGTGGCCTGCCTGGCCAGATCTGTCCTGGCTCACAGCCTCCCTGTTGTTTTTTGGCTCCTGAACAGACAGTAGTTGCATTGTTGCCTTTCAAGTTGCCAGCCTCTGATCAGTGTGAGAAAAGCCAGATACCATGTGGTCCTGGCAGGAGGCTGACAAAGCTATCCCAAAACTGGCATCTGACAGTCTCATCCAAGGTGGATTTCACTGTCTTGAGTGGTACTTCCGTGGCCTGTGATGGGCAAGCTTTGATGCATAAAGTCATGAAGTCCCTTTCTTGCTCCGTGTCCATTGTATTGCAATGCCTGTTGTCTCCCTACAAACATAACCCCCCAGAGCCGTGAGAAGAGAAAGCTGGATCTTCAGCAGCGGCAGGGTCCCTGCATGGCTGTCCGGTCTGCTTAGCTCCCAGTAGCGCTTCTCCTCCTCAATCTGCCAACTACTACTACGCTTGATCATACCGTGTCATCTCCTTCATGGAGAGGTTCCCAGAGGTACGATCCCCTGCCAGCCTTAACAAAGCTCCGGGAGAGTAGCTCTGCAGGCTTTGAGTGCGGGAGGATCCCGGACGCAGCCGCGGCGGAGGGCGGAGCAGAGGTGATTGGGAGCCAGTCGGCGCTGGGACGTGTCACGTCACCCCCGTGCCGCAGAGGCCCGTTCTTGGTTCCGGAGGGCGCCGTGGGACCGCGGGCTGCGGGCGGAAGGG